GAACTACGTTCAAATGATGGAAATTCATTAATCAGACTTCACAAATGGAATTGGGCACTCAAATTTAGCCTAGGAAGGTCAGGGGACGCCTTGGCCCATGCGCCGCCAAATGCGCCTTCGTAGGTGGCGGTCGGCCGTCCGAACTCGCCGGAAAATTCAACTATTTCTAAAAATTCTCAAACTTCCCAAAAATGAAGATCTCAATGAGTAGAGTAACTTTCGTGCCTGTGGCCAAGACCAATTTGGCCGAGAAAAGCCCCAAGTTCACTAAAACCCGTCGGAAACCCTATAAAGGGTGATTTTTTATTCGTCCTCCTATCGACTCCGATGCTCCAACAAATGATTGGGCGTTATTCCTGAGCTCAAGGGAAGGCTAATGGTGGCAGTGATCGAAGGTTTTGCCTTCAGAAATGGTGGAATTCCTCTGATCTCCCCTATAGTGTCGCCGACCCTATCCCTACGAAATCAAGACCAAAAACCATCTGATTTGGGGTGGAAATAGAAGAAGAAAGGTTGTGGAGTCATGTGCAGGTGATATCGACGATCAATTTGCCGAAAAAACACTTGAATTGGCATTGGGGTGTGTAGGAATTGGGTCAGGTCAATGGGGAGAAACCAAGTCAAGGGTGATCTGATGCTCCTCCACTCTCTCATTTCCCCTCCTTTCTTCTCTCCCCCATTGGTTACTCTCTCTTTCTCTTCTTTCTAATTGGGCGTCCTGCCCCTCCTTGCTCTCCTTTATACTTCATCTCCACCGCCCATCTTTTCTATCTTTAAATCTGGGCCACACACGTGGCTTTCTAGAGTTTGCTCCAAAAATCTTGAGCTTTCTAGAAAATAACTAATTTACTAAAATGCCCCTCGACTTTAAACGTTAATATCTCCTTCGTTATAACTCTAAATCACGGTTCGTTTATGACCACATGTTCGTAGCGACGAGTACTATGAGGATACGCCAGGAAAATGAACCTTACGTGACACAACACGGTAGTCAACAAAAGTCAATAGCTGCCTCGAAGGGCATTTTCGTAAATTCATATTTTAAAATTATAAAAATCATAATAATTGGGGATGGGTTGTTACAAAGGTTTTGGGTGGTTGCGAATGAATCCTCTTGGTGAACATTTTGGTTTTGTCATTCTGCTATGGTTTTGACAAGTCCCAAATATTTTCATGTTATATGAATTCTGCTACTTTCCAACCACCCAGTGCCTTTATTGGCAAGGATGTTTGTGTTGACAGATAACAAGTACATATCTTGAGTGAGACTGCCTGCTTTGTTTGGGTTCATATCATACCAATGACACTTGGGCATCATAACTTCCTTATGGTTTATGTGTAACAATTGAACCTTACTTAAAAGTTTGGCAAAGAAAAAACTATTTTCATTTACCCCCAGGACAAAAACTCCACTGTTTTGAGTGCACAATTTATTGTCCCATTTAGTTGTCAAGAATTTAACTCCTTTCACATGACAATCAAAGTACGTTTTGGCTCGAAAGGGACCAAATGCTAGTTGGAGTAATTCTTCGTCCAACAAGGGCGATTTGCCCTCTATTAGCTGTCACATATAGTAAACTCCAAAAACCACTATATGTGTAAGTTTTTGCAATGGAGAAAATCAGTTTCATCTAAAAATAAAAACACTTACATGTTGGGGAAATCAAATGTGAAAATAATTGTCTATGCATTTCAACTCAATTTGAAGGATATGGGGCCTTTATCAATGCCTCATGATGTTTGTGGAATGCCGAGACTTCATCGCAGTTGTTTTATACAAACCAATGAGCAACCTCCAAGTTGCCTTTTTTGAACGGTTCAAACAAAGGTCTTTTGCTGAATGGGCATGTAGGTTGAGGAAAGACAAAGAGTTTTTAAACTTGCTTACCCCTATCAAATTGGAATCTAGTTATGAATCATTCTCCAATTGATAAACCAACTCCAATTAGGAAAATATTTTAAATTGGGTAAAAAAACTTCAATTGGATAAACTTCAATCGAGGAAACAACTCCAATTCAGAAAACAACTCCAATTGAGAAAACCACTCCAATTAGGAAAACAATTAAATCTTTTAAGTCTCTAATTCCTAATAGACTTAGGACAACTCATCATGGGCGGGAAAAACCTAACAATCTCCCCCTCCAGACCATGAGGAAGGTGTACCACAGTAGGATTGCTCCTCTTGATCAAACTTCCATTTATCGAACTTCTCATAATCAGGCTCCCTTTGATTGAACTACTCATGACTAGACTCCCCCTGATTGAACATCTCTTGACCATGTTCCTCTTGATCAGACTTCTCTTGACTAGACTTCTCCTGATCGAAATACCCATGACCAGACTCCCCTAATCAAACATCTCTTGACCAAGCTCATTTTGATCAGACTTCTCTTGATCAGACTCCCCTGATCATAACTGCCATTCTCATTGGCAAAGGCAATTATAGACTTATTTGCCAGAAAACATCACTCATCTTCATCTTTGTCCAATCAGCATCAGACATACTTGTTTGGGTACTCTTAACACCTTTATTAAAGCATGTATACCATTCTTGATTTCCACGTTACCCAGTTAAAACAAGTCGCATAGATATCAGACAAACTTGGCTCTGATGCCACTTGTTGTGAATATTGCATCTAAGAATGGAAAAAATGAACGAACTTGGAAATCAAAAACTGAATAACCAAGGTAAATAACACCAATAATTAACGTAGTTTAGCTATATGTGCCTACGTCCATAGGACAGCAACAACAATCTTTCACTATATCAATAATGAGTACAACCAATAATCTTGCCAAATCTCTAGAATTAAGAACTTGACTATAAACTTGAAAGAACAAGAACAAGAAATACACTCTTTATATCTTCTATTTTCACTCACACACACTTTGCCTTTATAATATTCTCTCACTCTAATCCCTTGAGTGGTATACAAAATATTGTTTTGTCCAAATTCAAAACTAGTGCATTGGCCCCATAACATAGACATAATAAGGGTCTTCTTCAATAAGGATTACTAATCCTAATTAAAATATAGTTATGAATCCTTCTCCAATTGATAAACTAACTCCAATTAGGAAAATAATTTAAATTGGGTAAGCAATTTAAATTAGGTAAACAATTTAAATTGGGTAAACAACTTCAATTGGAGAAACAACTCCAATTGGAAAACCATTCTGATTGGGAAAACCACTAAATCTTCTTAGTCCATAATTCCTAATAGACTTGGGAGGGCTGAAAAAACCCAACACATGCCTATCACAAGTTGCATCCCAGGTTTTATGGTCCCTATGAGATCACTAAAATGGTTGTCCAGTTGCATATAGGTTGAAGCTCTGAACCTACCTTTTGGTTCCAAGAAACATCTTGTGTTTCATGTCAGTTGTCTCAAGAAGCAACTTGGGAGTTAGGTTCAACCTACTACTGCATTGTCAGACGTTACTGATAATAGAAAAATGCAGGATTCTCCTTTGGCAATCCTAGCTAGGAGGATGCACAAGAAGGGTGCTGCGGCTGGAGTACAATTGTTGATCCACTGGGTAGGACAAGAACAAAGTGATGCTACATAGGAAGACTATGCAGAATTCCATTCCAGGTTACAGAATTTCCGCATTAATAACCTTGAGAGCCAGGTTGTTCTTCAAGGGGGGAACGATGAAAGGATTAGTGATTTTCTTAGTCATTAATATTAATAGTTTAAAATTCTGTTAAGTTAATTTATTCTTCTGTGAAGTTAGTTTGTTTGAGTAATGTCTAGCTGGCACCTTTGGTGGGCTGAGACATTAAATGGAGCAATAGCTCATTCCGTTTTGTAACAGTTAGGAACTTTTATCAATAAAAAAATATATCTCTGGAGCTCAGCTCCTTCTTCTTCCATATGCCATTCCCTCCATTGCTGCACTGTTAAGGTTGAAGCACTTATTGGAGGTGGTTCTTATCACATTCTGGTATCCACTTCCAGGGAAACTTGTCTAATATTACCTATAGGTGATAGAGGTCGAGCACGTGTGAGTCTTCACTTGTACAAGGGCACTCAATGACACAGTCAGCGTCTCTAATTCTTTCAAGTAGAGTTTTGTACTCTTGCCAGCCTACTGTAAATTTTGTATCACCTATTCTTCTTATCTCTAAGCTTCCCGTTTGTACAATAATTTGTCTAAGACTTGAGAGATTCTTATTTTTAATTTAATATGACCGAGTTCGAGTGTCATTTGTGCAATTACGTGTAAAGACTTTAGAGGGATTCTTGTGTTCGAATTAAATTTTATTTTTCTATCAAGGGTGATGTAATGGAGTTCAGGTTTTGTGAACCATTTCTAAACCATCTCCTTAATGGAAGTAGAGTCCACAATATAAGTATGTCCCATGTCTAATAGGGAGATGCATGGTTTAGATGTGAGTCTACAAAATGTCATCTCTCTAACATTTTTCTTTTTTAATTGTGGTTTTGTTTATCTTAAGAGTCCAAAAAAAAAAAAATATATATATATATATATGTACAAATGACACCTAATAAGTTTTGATCTTTCCAATACTCATTTTTTGGGGCCTACTAACATATTGAATGTGTTTATTTGCTTAAATTTCAAAGTGTCCAAAATGCACGCTCCTTTGACCTTATAAGTGCATAAAACAGTCTAAAAGCACTCTAAATATATTAAAAAAAAAGGGTAAATATCAATTTACTACCCTCAAATTTTGTGGTTTTCAACATTTGGTACATGAAGTTTTTTTCGTCTTAGAGTCATACCTAAAATGTTAATTTTGGGATAGTTTCATACATTCGTTAGTTTGACTGTTAAATCGGCCGTTAACTGGTGACGTGGCGCTCACGTGGATAGTGACAAAGCGCCACGTGTCATAGGGGCCACACAAATATTAAAAAAATTAAAAATAAATAAATAAATTTTATCAGCTCAACCCGGACCCCCTCCCTCCCTTTTCTCCACACACCCACCCTCAAGCCCCGATTCCCTCCCTCCCTTCTCTCCTCTGTGACAAATCACGACCCTAAAGAAATCTCTTCCCTCCTTTGTACCAAATTCAAACAATGGCGGAAGGTTGCAGATGGAATGGAAGATTTCAGATCCAGATTGTGCGATCACTAAAGGTCGTAGATGAAGAGCTACAATGGCGGACCTAGGTGGGAAACAGGTGCTACAGTGCCTCCTATGCGACCTCTATGCACCAACAACAAACCAAGGCGGGAAACAACAGCGAGAAGATCAAGAAAGGGAAGTCGGTGAACGGGTCGGCGACAAAGAGCTGGAGCCTGAGAGATCTGGAGATGCAGAGGAAGAACCCAAAATTAACACTTTAGGTATGACTCTGGGACGAAAAAAACTTCATCTACCAAATGTTGAAAACCACGAAATTTAAGGGTAGTAAACTGATATTTACCCTAAAAAAAAAGTCTACAAATGAGACCCAATAATCTTTTGATCTTTTGAACACTCTCTCATTCTTAGGGGTCTAGTAACATATTGATTGTGTTTATTTGCTTAAATTCCAGAGGAATGCTAAGGAGATTCAAAGTGGAACTCTCCATGAATTTTCTATCACCTCACACTTTAACGTCAATTCCGTGTCAATATTATAAAATATTGTGCAAAACATAAGGTGATAGAGAATCCATGGATGGTCCCACTTTTAAGAGTCTTCTTAGGCCACCTCCAACCGAAAGGGCTATGTTTAGCCCCCATCCAGATTATAGGTCTGCAAGAAATTATTTTTTTAATGAAACAATACCATGCTATATTTGTATATCATCTCCAACCGAGAAAGCTATTTTGTAGCCTTCTCAATAATTTATTATTTTTAAATTTGTTCTTTAACTTTATTGGTTAATTGAATTAAATTACCATAGTTATAAATGAGTAACTCTCCTTATTTCTTATCTTTATGTAATCTTAAAAATTTTTCAAAATGCTATGTTAATTTGGCTTAAAAAAAATAATTAATTAATTTTTCAGATAGGAGTTTAAAGAATGTGAAGAATTGAAATAAAATGATGTAAGATAATATGAAAGGGTGAAAAAGATGTAAGAATTGGTTTAGAAATGGCTTTTATATACGTTTCAAATAAATAAAATAAACTAGAGAAAGACGCGTTCTAACTTGAAATTTAACATCAGTCTTGTACATATATCATATATAGGGGTGAGAATTCAGAAACCTTACATGTATATATGTCTTTATCATTAAAAATCTGCGACTTCAGTTTGATCGAAATAGCAGCCGGAAGGGCCTCCACGGGGTAGAAGAGCCAACTTGACCAGACCGGCAGCCCCTTCTTCGACAGTCATGGTCCCTGTATGCCAATTGAGGTCTGTATTAACAAAGCCTGGATGCACACAGTTGACGCACATGTTTGGGTACTTGTTGGCAAGGATTCTAGTGTAGGCATTGAGGGTGGCTTTGGAAATGCTATATGCAGGTAACATCATTGTCCATCCATTCACTTCGAGTTCATTTCGTTTAAAATCATGCAGAAATCTTGTCAAAACTGCATCCACTTTCTCCTCTGTCAATGCTTCTACATCCCCGAGCTCATTTCGGATCTCTTCACTTGGTATTCTCTGCATGGAATTTAATAACTTTGATTAGGAAATATAAAATTTTGCTTCATCTTGTGTTGTTAGCTAGGACTTGGAAGGAGATTATATCGATTGAGGGTTATTTTCCAGCAGCAAGTTAAGGAGAGAAGAAAGACTATTTGTCGATGGATGAAATATATGATATCAAGGAAATTATCTCTTGCCAGACTCGTCTAGCTAATGAACATGAACCTTTGTTAGTTAATTTTTGCTTCATTGTGTATTTTTACCTTGAGTTCACTCCTCAGGGAGGAGACATTGACAATTCTTGCTCCTAGTGTGGAGAGTTGCAAGAGTGGGAGAAGTGCCTCGGTTAGTCTTTTAACCCCGTAGTAATTTGTATTTAAGCATTCCTCAGCCTTCTCATAAGTGTATTTAATTACACCTTGGATTTGGTTCACCGCTTTCCCTGAAAGCTGAACAAACACAACTCCTTGTTAAAAAGATGCTGTGAATCTTGGTTCTGGTGTGGCTAGGCATAATTGTAAGAAGGCCTACACCTTAAGACGTCACTGTGATATCTCAAACTAATAACAGAACTTCATGTATTTTAAGTATCCCATATGGTGTCGTGTAATTGGTTTGAGACTCCGCGTTCGCGTCCTTATTTTACGTAAGTGCTTCTCGTGAGAAAGGAGAAATCCATAACTTACCCAAGTTTTGGGGTCAATGTTTAGGGATTTTATAACTTTCTCATCCAACAGTGCTCCACTAGCTCCAGCATTATTAACCTGCAGAAATCAAGTGGTCAATTTTTCACACAACATTTTGGAGTCTAACAAATATTATCACTGTGTTTGTACATAGGAAATGTACCGATTTGCCTAATATGACCGTCGCAGTTCAATTTAACCTTTGTTTTTTCAATAATTTTCAAGGGGTAAAATGAATTTGTCATTAGATATAACAAAATCCCGAATAGGAGAGAGAAAAATTTGGCCATACCAAGATATCAAGCCTGCCAAATCTGGCGTGTATGAACTTGGCCAGGGAGTGGATGCTAACTGGATTCAAGACATCAAGTTGATGGAAGACAACATTTGACAGACCCAACTTGTGGAGCTTTAATGTTGCTTCTCCTCCCCTCTTCTCATCCCTGGCCGTCAACACCACCACCACCCCTTGAGATGCAAGCTGCCTCACCACCTCCAAGCCAATACCCTTGTTTGCACCACTAACCACTGCACACCTGCTGTAACGCAACCACCATCAAAATTTAAACACTTTTCGCTTATTTTGGGCTGTTTAATAACCATTTCGTTTTTAGGTTTTAGTTTAAGAAAATAGTTATTAAACTAGTTTTCAGTTTTCATTTTTCAATAAAAAGTGAAAACAAAGATTATAAATGTACCTCTCTGTCTCTGCTCCATCTCCTTGATTGCTTCCCATTCTTGTATAATCCTTGGATTTGCGTTGTGATCTTATTTTCTTCCTGAAACTGTGGAGCACAACAGGTTGAATGTTCTCTGCAGCTCCACTCGAATCAAGTTCTAATTCTTTCTCAGCCAAAAACCAAAATCCAAAATCCAAAAGCAATTTCCTTTTTCTTTCATATTTGTACATATAGTGGTTGAGGTTTTTTATTTTGACTAGTTCTAGCTGTTGGAGTCACATACATTGAAAGTGAGTGGTGTATACTAACAATATCACCTCATTTTATACTCCAATAGTTGATGAGTTGATTAATGTTTGATATAATATTATATTCTATAAAACCAACCCTACAGTAAGGGGAATTTTTCTATAGTGGGTAGCATTGTGGTCCGAAAAATGAATGACTGAGACTGAAATAAAAAAAACTTAATATTTGTGGAAATCAAATCTAACAACTAAACACCCGTAAAACTGAAGGCAACTGATTTCCGTAGGTTTATATTCCCGAGTGGAAAGTGGAAGAACAAAAACACTGCCAAACATGCACATCAGATAAGAACAAAGCACAGCAACCAAACACAGACATAAGAATAAAAGACTGCCAAGTTTCAACTTAATCATTGAAATGAAAGGGACCTCGCCGCTTTTACACGCTTTCTACTCTTTGGAATCGAAACAAAATAGTAAATGCAAAATTACCCACCCAATAATCTGGTTTTATTTTCACGCATATCAGAAAATATCAGCAAAAAAACTATCTGAAAGCACTCCACCAACCCTACCAACCCTTTCTCCGCCTTCCAGTGCACTCCCACCCCACCAACCATTTCTCCGCCCTCCAGTGCGCTACATCAATAACACAAATTCCTGGAACCAAGACATAAATAGACAAGATGCAAAAATATAGAGAGAGAGAGAGAGTACGTTATTGATTCGAGTTCTGGATGCGCAACGGCCAAGAGAAGTCGGCGAGGTGTGAGAGTGAGACGGCTAGTGGCAGCGACAGCGAGTTCCTCCTCGGTTAACTTTGGATCTTTCGATTCTTCGAAGAAGATAAGAGAGAGAGAGAGAGAGAGAGAGGGGGGGGAGTGGACTTGGTGAAGGAGTCAATTAATGTAAACCGCAAACCAACGTCGTTTTCCAATACTTCAATTCGATTTGGTTTCTAACCACTGAAACAGAATCCGAACCGACAAATGTCAGCTCTGTTTTGGCTTTTCAAATTCGGCTCGAATTTTTTTTTTCTTTTTTCGGGTTTAGGTTTTTTCGGTTTCGGCTCAGTTTTCGATTCTATTTTTCTGAACCCACCATTAGAATTGAACGTGAAATATCTTATTTACAAATAAAAGGAATGCTACTAAACTGTAGTACTAATTAATGGTACATTAAGACCTTCAATTGAAATTATATTTGGTGTATGTTCAAGTATTATTTATGATAAGAAGCTTTTGTCAATCTTTGTTTAACATTGTCCATGCTCACCATTTTTATCCCTAATATAAGAATAAATGAAGATGTCGTCATTTAGTACTACAATCTAGTAGTATTTCTCTTCACTTATAAGTGATATGTTTTAGGTTCGATTCTCTCTAAAGGAAAATTTGAACCACATTATTACTAGTCTATTTTGAGGCTTAGCTCACTTCCCCACCTCCTTAGACTCTCCAACCTTTAGGTTAAAACCTAAAATTTTTAACCTAAAAAAGGTTTTAACCTAGAAACAATTTTTCTCTTCCAACTCTTATGGGTTAAATTTTTAGCTGAGATTATTAAAGAATGAATTTAGGATAATTTTTTTTTCTTAAAATAACTATTTAAAAAAAAATATGTAGACTATCCTAATTTAATTTTATGAACATTTTAATCTAAAAATATTTTGACACACCCCGACTCGGAATGTCCACTAGAACTCTGAATCGAGTTGTTCTGGCCCACACCTGGAAGGTGACGAAGCCATAAAGTGTAGTGATGTGGAAAATGTGAATAAATTTAAACCTAAAAGTGCCTAAATACAAGAGTGCACTATGAGCGGGAATGAACCCGTTTCACACGTAATGTTAGAGCATAAGTAAAGTATAGTAAGATAGAATAAGGATTATACCCTCAAAGGTAGCCACCTATACTGAGATCGATAAGTACTGTGAACATATATTCGAATAATCGAGATTACAATTTAGGAAATTGTGTGCTATTTGCATTGTTGCTTGAGAGGGTAGTACGTGAGTGCGGTTAAGGCGTTAATCAGACAATGTATGTGTATTTTCCAATGGGGGGCATGATGGTAATATTGCACCCTCAGAATTAGTTGCGTACTTATCGAGAAAACAGTGAGCTGTTGATATTGTGGGCTGCAGACCGTAATATCAATAACTTATTCGTTGAGATCGTTAAGTAAGTGAACAAGTAGGTCCATTTACATTAGCATTTTTAGTTATATATCTATATATTTATTATTTGGCTTGACCCAAAGATGCTACACTTATTCTCGGAGTACATGACGCTACAAGTGCGTAGGCAAAATTTGTCTATTTGGCTTGACCCAAAGATGCTACACTTATTCTAGGAGTACATGACGCTACAAGTGCGTAGGCAAAATTTGTCTATGTTCAGCTTTAATTTCAGTACAACTATTTCTACGTTATTCCATATACGTATTTGGACATTATGCTTTTATACATCTATTTTTTACCCTATGTTTTTATAAAAGTATTATATTTTGGCATTATATTGAAGGAGAAGGAAAGTTCGAGTTTGGAGGCATGAAAGAGGAATCACTGCACTTCAATCGTGACGGAATGGCATTCTCTTTGCCCTAACTTGATATCTTCTTACATATTTATTTTCTACTGCCTTTTCACTATATTTGAATAACAAATGATGTCAAATTTTGGGGACGAATTTTTTTTTAAGGTGGGTAGATTGTGACAACCCGTCCCTAATTTTACGTTTTTATTTATTTTTAAAATATGAATTTACGAAAATGCCCTAGAGGCGAGGGTATTGACTTTCGTTGGCCAACATATAGTGAGATGTACAAAATATTCTTTTAGCGTATTCTTGAAGTACTCAACGATACGAACGCATACGCCTAAGCGGAATCAAAATCAGATCTATGGTTAAAGTTTTACAGAGCTACGAATCCGAAAGTATTTTGAAGGAATCACTATTTTAATTATATTATACTATTTTATACTACTAAATTGTTATGCCACATGTGTGTGGTGAGAGGGGAAACAAAATGAATCGGGGATGAGGAGAAATAGAGGAGAAGGGATTGGGCAGAGTTACCCAATCGGAGGAGAAAAGAGGGAGATGAGGAACAAATCAGGAGATGAAGTAGAAAAGTCTAACCAATTAGGTGAAGGGTCAGGAGGGAAAGGAGAGAGTGGGAGATGTAGCCAACCCAGATCCACCTTGAGCCATTTCCCGTGCGCGACTCGGCTGACTTCCACCATGTTTTTCGACACCCTTTTGGGCAGTTTTTCCGATGATTCGTAGCCACCCACCACCTGGAAGTCACTCAACATCAACACCTCTTCCATTTCCAACCAAAACCCAGTTCCTTTAACCCCCGATTTGAGGAGAAAGAAACCATCGAACCCGTGGGGGTTCCGAAGGATTCACGACGAGAACCACCATTTTTGAAACAGTTCCCTCCAATTACCACCACCATCAAACTTCCCTTGAGGCCTAGAACAAAGCCCAAACAACTTTAGAGGTAGCAGAGCACCGGAGAAGTTTAATCGAAAGCCACCCATTTCTAGGGTTCCGACAGGTTTGTGGCGATTTGAAGCTTTTTCTGGCCAAATTGGACTTGGCCACAAGTATAAAACTTGCTCTACTTGTTGAGATCTTCATTCCTGTAAAATTTGAAAATTTTTAGAAATAGTTGATTTTTCCAGTGAGTTGGGGTGGTCGACCGCTGTGTGCAGTGACGTGTGGGCCAAGGCACCCCCTGACCTTCCTAGGCTAAATTTGATACCCCAATTCTATATATGACGTCTGATTGATGAAATCTCATCGTTTGAACATAGTTTTGATAGTGACCGCCACTTGATACTTATATGAATTGACGATCCAACCGTTGGATCATCACCAAACTATAGTACATTATAGTACGTAATATTTGAGGATATTAGAAACTTACAGATCGGGAATTCGACATATGGATCTTTTCGAATTGGGTTTGTAAGTTCGAAAAATAAAACGTTGACTACCACTTGAATTTGCAATTAGCGAACATCCAATCGTTGGGTCATAATGAAACTTTGGTAATGATGTTTTAGAAGCATAATGTGGATCTTTGGAAGTTATAGATCGGAAATCCAAGGTGCAGATCTTTTGGATTGAGTTACATAGGGTTATGGACCCTACAACCGACCTTTAATCGACGGTTGACTTTTGGTCAATGGGTTTCAAACCATTCTAGAACGTCCTTGGGAATGTGTTTATGTAAGTTATGTGTTCTATCGATAAGAATTCTGATACTTGATTTGATAATTGTTCTAAGCGCTGATCGTTCGTGATGCCTCGATATTCGTGCTAGGAAGTTGTACCGCAGACCTCAGGTGAGTGAGTCTTTTCCTTGTTATAGTGTATATATATATGGTTGATAGTTTCCACAAATGCTTTTGAATCGATTTATGCACTTCATGCCATGATTAAATTATGTTATGAGAAACGTTGCACAGTTATGAAATACCAAGATGATTCTACAAGATGCGCAAGTAAGTTCAGGTAAGTTTATTATGTTGATTGGAGTTATTGCATCATTATGGCATTCTTATGCTCATATAGTTCGCTCATCATTGCTACACCCCGGTGTTAGTGCTCCCACCCCGGACCAGGGTTACCCATCACGTGATTGTTCACCTCTTACACCCTACGCTCGCCTTGGATCCAAGTTAGATGCTAGCCAGTCGTACAGGTCGCATTAGGCGACTTTGACTCGTAGGTGACCCTCGTATAGCGCTAGCCTTCACGTGATCGTGGTACTAGAGTGCATATTATTACACTTAGCCTATCGTACAAGTCACATTAAGTGACTCGACTCTTGCGTTAGCGTAGATTGATGAGCAATATGTGTCATCGTATATGTAACATTAGGTGACTCCAACTTGCGTGCTATTATAGATTATTGAGCACATAATTATATTCATATTGATGTTGAGATATTCTGCTGTGGCATATTTCTAGATTTATTGTTGGCGTGCATTTGATTTCATATTTATACGTAGTATGATTTTCGGGAACCTATACTTGTTTTACGGCGAGCGGTTACAATGTTTTCAGAAAGGTTTTTATAAAACTTTATTTTCAGGCCCACTCACCCTTATTTTTTGCCCCTCCAGGTTTTAGTAGCTGAGCTTTCTTATTGACAAGGATTCTTGGCAAATCTCAGTATAGCTAGCTACCTTTGAGGTTATAATCCTTATTCTATCTTACTGTACTTTACTTATGCTCTGAAATCACGTGTGAAGTGGGTTCATCCCCGCTCACGTCACACTCTTGTATTTAGGCACTTTTAAGTTTAAATTTATTCACATTTTCCACATCACTACACTTTATGGCTTCATCACCTTCCAGGTGTTGGCTAACACAACTTGATTTGAAGTCCTAGTGGACATTCCGGGTTGGGGTGGGCCATATTCAGATTTCGATAAATATTGAAAATCCACTAAATAGACACCATGAAACTTGTGGAACACTATGAAAGAATATGGAAGACATAAAAGAATTTTTTTTAATTAATTTGGTTATTGGATTTATATTTGGACCGTTAACATGACACGTAAACAACAGGAAATAACTGATTTTGGGTAAACTATAACTAATCAAGTCGTTATCAGGTCACACGATGAAAACCCATTAATGACGAGTCCGTAATCGGTTTACACGAGGTTGACACATGGGTAACTCATTTCGACACATTAAGAAAAAGTTATTTTGATTATTTTAATTTTTTAAACTACTAAAAAACTTACAATAAAACACAATAGTCATAGTGTATGTATATATTGTATATTAAATATGTATTATTGTATTATTATTCTATATAAATTTTAAAAAATTAAGTTTTATTTATTTATTTACTGTTATAGTATACTATAGGCAAGGAGTGAGGTTAAAAAATTATAAAAC